CGGTGCATGGGCAACTGGCTGAGTCAGTGGGATCGTCGGTTCGAATCCTACTGAAAGAAGTCTGATGAGGAAATGTGGTGATTTCCGAAATAGCTATCACTTCTACCATTTTTTCAAATTGTTGTTGCTTTTCCACAATAAATTTTTCATTTAAATGGCCTCGAGCTCATTATAAAATTGTTTAATATAATTGTTAAATGGCCAAAAAATAACAAAAAACATATATGCATGTTTGGTAAAATTTCTTCTTAAACAATACCTGTAACTGACCTTAAAACATCCTTATATTTACAAAAAGATGTTATTTTAAAATATAAGCTTTGGAAAAAAATTTTCTAACCCTAAATTAAAACGCAATTTAAATTAAATTAAAATTTGTTTAACATAACTTTATTTAGAGTTCGCAAAAAAAGTCCATAGTTCAAAACTCATATCTTAAAAAAAACAGAAATAAGCCCTTGAAAATTTCAGTATCTTTCAAGATTATTGTAATTGTATAAAAAAAAAATTGCCAAAAGTTGTTATAATCTTAGCTTTACGGATTTTTGAGTGAAAATTCGTGCACATTTTTTATTTTTTTTTCATTTAACTATACAATTTTTCTTTATGGCTCTAAATAGGCAGAACCATTTTAGTCATGGTCATTAAGTTAAAAGTAAAAGTCATTAATACCGTTTACATAAGACATTTTTTAATGGTAGATATATTTTTTTCATTTCCGCCATTTCAATTCCTGTTAGAAATTTGATATTATTTTTTTGTAATGTTTTCTACTAGAGCTCTTGTTAAAAAAATCGACTATCCGGCCATTCGCTTAGTCGACTAGTTGATTAGCAACGTTTTTGTTGGCTGATAGTCGACTAGCTATTCGAGTAACCGCTCACTATCGGTTAGTCTGAAAATCGATTAACAGAAATTATTCGAATAGTGATAGTTTCTCGCAATGAAATTATTGTTATAGAGTGCCAGTTACTGTCGAAATTCGACAGTTTTTTCTAGTTTTTGAAGCCTTGGAGAGGATTTCTAACTTAACACGCAGCAAAACTTATACGGTACAAATTAACTAACCGGAAAATCTTCTGCTAAAACGTAACTAATTTTTTTTATCTGAGGTCTTTGGAGGACTTCGGCAGGACTTGGAA